TTTTAGTATATAGGACTAGAGGCCCATTGCACGAAGAGATTCATGCAATAGGCCTTCACTTCCCCTGGCTGCCAGCACCAGTTTTCCTCCAGCATCCAGGACCCAGGCCTTCGCTCCAGCCAGAGCCTTCAGTCTTCGTGGCTCCAGACCGAGCCTTTAGTCTTCGTGGCTCCGGACAGAGCCTTCAGTCTTTGCTCTGCTGCTTCGCCCCTATGTATGCAAATTAACCGCCATCTTTGTTTGGTTAATTTGCACACTCACCTGATTGGCTGGTCAGTGTAGCGGAGGGATGGTTAATTTACATGTTTGTCTATTATTAGGTAAGATATTGATCTCACAGAAAAACAAAGTAAAAAAACAATCCTGTTTACCATTGCACCAAAAAAATTAAGATTCCTGGAATAAACTTAACTAAGGAGGTAAAAGACCTGTACTAGGAAAACCACATGATGTTGAAAAAATAAATAGAGGAAGATAGATGGATTGATAGAATCTACATCATTAAAATGTCCTTATTACCCAAAGCAATCTATAGATTCAATACAATCCCCATTAAAATACCAACGGAGTATTTCACAGATCTAGAACAAACTCTCCAAAAAAATTCATCTGGAATTTCAAAAAACCCAAATAGCTGCAGCAGTCCTGAGAAAAAAAAGAACAAAGTTGGAGGAATCACAATACCAGATATCAAGCTATATTAAAAAGCCACTGTTTTCAAAACTGCATGGTACTGGCACAAGAAAATACATATAGACCAATGGAACAGAACAGACAACTTAGAAGTCGACCCAAGCCATTATACTCAATTAATATTTGACAAAGGAGGCAAGAGCATACAATGAAGTCAAGATAGTCACTTCAATAAATGGTATTGGGAAAATTGGACAGATACATGCAAAAAAATGAAACTAGACCACCAACTTACAACATACACAAAAATAAACTCAAAATGCATAAAGGACTGAAAGCATAAATATCTTAGAAGAAGCCATAGACAGGAAAATAGCAGACATATGTCATAGCAATATCTTTACTGATACAGCTCCTAGGATAATGGAAACTAAGGAGAAAATAAACAAATAGAACTACATAAAATAAAAATCTTCTGCACAGCAAAAGAAACCATCAACTACACGAAAAGGGAGCCCAATGTATCGGAGAACATATTTGCCAAAAATTAAAAATGGAACTCCCATTTGACCCAGTAATCCCACTTCTAGGACTATATCCCAAGAAACCAGAAACACCAATCAGAAAGGATATATGCACCCCCATGTTCATAGCAGCACAATTTACAACAGCTAAGATTTGAAAACAGCCTAAGTGCCCATCAGCATATGAGTGGATTAGAAAGCTGTGGTACATCTACACAATGGAATATTATACTTCTGTAAATAAGAAAGAACTCTTACCCTTTTGAACTGCATGGATAGACATGGAAAGTATTATGCTAAGCGAAATTAGCCAGTTGGAGAAAGATATATATCACATGATGTCACTCACTTGTGGAATATAATAACATAAACTGATGAACAAAAATGGAGCCACAGGAAAAAAAGTATTTTAGAATATAATACAAATAATCCTGTATTTGTAGATTTTTAATATTTCCTACAACTTTTGTAATATTATACTATGTTAGTACAGTTTGGTAACATTATTATATTTAAATTATTTTTCTTGAAATATTAATGTTTATTATATATAATATTAATGCAGCAGCTAAATAACACATAGATGCTATAGATGACATAATTGCATTACATGTGTCATCTTACAAGGGTATTGTAGACCAACTGTACCAGTGTGAGACATGGAAACTTATTAGAAATGCAAATTGTAGGCTCCACTCCAGACCCAATGTATCAAAACATGGAGGAGGGTTAATTAATCTGTGTTCAGGTGATTCTGATGCATGCTAAAGCTTCAGAAGCACTAGTTTTAAATGAAACTTGTTCAAAGTCCAGCTTCCATATAGATCAACGATGATATAAAACCATTATAAGCAAAAGCAATAACAAGAGGGAAATTTATTATAGGCAATCTCAAGAAACAAGAGAATTCCAAGTAAATAACTTAACATTACATCTTAAAGAACTAGAAAAAGAAGACATCCCAAAGTCAGCAGAAGAAAGGAAATAATAAAAATTATAGCAGAATTGAATGAAATAGAGAACAAAAAGACTATACAAAATATTAATAAAACAAAGATCTGGTTCATTGAAAAAGATTATTAAAATTGACAAACCCTGGCTAGACTAAGAAAAAAAATGTGTAAAGTCCCATATAAACAAAATCAGAAATGAGAGAGAAGTCACCACAGACATACAAAGGATCATACTAAAATATTATGAAAGACTAGATGTCACCAAATTCAATAACCTAGAAGAAATTGATAACTTTTAGAAATATATAACCTTCCTAGACTAAGTCATGAAAAATTAGAAAATCTAAATAGACTGATCAGCACTGAGGAAATTGAAACAACCATCAAAAACTTACCAAAAAATAAAAGTTCAGGAACAGATGGCTTCACCAGTGAATTCTACCAAATATTCAAAAAAGATTTGAAACCTATCTTTCTCAAACTCTTCCAAAAATTGAACAAGAGGCAATACTTTCTAACACATTTTATGCGGCCAATGTAACCCTGATACCAAAACCTAGCAAGGATAACATAAAAAAATGAAAACTACAGACCAATATCTCTGATGACTACAGATGAAAGAAATCCTAAACAAAATACTAGCAAATCAAATACAACAGTACAACCAAAAAATAATACATCATGATCAAGTGGGGTTCATTCCAGGGGCAAAAGAATGGTTCAACATATACAAATTAATTAATATAACATAACACATTAACAAAAGAAAGGATAAAAATAATATGATCTTATCAATAGATGAAGAAAACGCATCTAATAAGATAAAACATCCATTTATGATTCAAACACTCAGTAAAATAGGAATAGAAGTAAAGTACCACAACATAATAAAGGCCATAAACCCTCAGCTAATATTATATACAATGGTGAAAAACTGAAAGCTTTCCTCTTAGATCAGGAACAAGATAAGGATGTCCACTCTCACCACTCTTATTCAACATAGTTCTGGAAGTCCTAGCCAGAGCAATAAGGCAAGAGAAAAAAATAAAAGGCATGCAAATAGGGAAGGAAGAAGTAAAACTGTCACTTTTTGCAGATGATGTGATTCTGTATACAGAAAACTCCAAAACTTACCAATAAAATACAACTATTAGAAATAATAAACAAGTACAATAAAGTTGCAAGTTACAGAATCAATGTACTGCCTTTCTGTATACTAACAACAAAATTTTAGAAAAAGAAGGGGGAAAAATTCATTTTGCAATTGCAACCAAAATAATAAAATACCTAGGAATAAACTTAACAAAGAACATGAAAGACCCATATACTGAAAATTACAAAGCATTATTAAGAGATTGAAAAAGACACAACAAAATGAAAAAATATCCTGTGTTCATGGATTGGAATAATCAACCCAGTTAAAATGGCCATATTACCAAAAGCAAAATACAGATTTAATGCAATCCCCATCAAAATCCCAATGTCATGTTTAAAAGAAATAAAAAGAGAAATAATCAGATTTCTTGGAACCATAAAAAACCCCAATAGCCAAAGAAATCCTGAGAAAAAAAGAATGAAGGTGGAAGTATCATATTACTTGACTTCAAATTATACTACAGAGCTACGATAATCAAAACAGCATGTTATTGGCAGAGAAACAGACACACAGAGCAATGGAACAGAATAGAACCAAATGTATATGGACAAATACACAAAGGAGTAAAGATAGTCTCTTCAATAAATGGTACTGGGAAAACTGGAAAGCTACATGCAAATGAATGAAACTGAATTACAGTTTGCCCCCATGTTCAAAAATTAATTCAAAATGGATCAAAGACCTAACTATAAGACAGGAAACAATAAGTTACATAGAAGAAAATATAGGTACCAAACTTATGCACCAGGTAATAGAGAACATTTTATGAATTTGACCTCAAAGGCAAGGGAAGTAAAAAAAAAATAAATAAATGAATGGGACTATATCAAACTAAAAAGCTTCTGCACAGCAAAAGAAACTGAGAACAAAACAAAGAGGCAGCCAACCAGATGGGAGATGATATTTGCAAACAGAAACTCCAACAAAGGTTTAATTTCCAAAATATCTAAAGAACGCATAAAACTCAACACCAAACAAACAACCAAATCAAAAAGTGGGCAGAGGACCTGAAAATACACCTCTTCCAAGAAGACACAAGAACAGCCAATCCTATCTAATAAGGATGGAATATGCAAATTGACCATCACTTCACAACAAAGATGGTGACGCCCACACGCAATAAGGAGGGAATATGCAAACTGACTCAACAAAGATGGTGGCAGCCAGGTCGGGACGCTTGCATTGTTGCTATGGTGACATGTAGTCAGCATTATACTACTTTGAGATACACTGATACATAAACAGACATGCATCTGTGGCTATTAACAAACAAGTTGAAAATTGGCTATACTGTACACCTCATTCACTAATTCTTTCATCATATAAAATCATGTCACCAAAAAAAGTGGCCCTTCTAAACAAATCATAATTAGAATAAGTCATGTCAGTCACCATCTATTTAATTACCACAACTAGAGGCTCTCCTAATAATAAAGGCAAATACAGCTTTAGTACAAGAGCCATCATTTCAAGTTTGCTTTTTATTTGAGTTATAAACTAAAGGTTAGTTCTCTGGTCTAAAACCATTTTAAGAACAAGATGAAATATGTTGGCATTATTAGAAAGCTATCAAAATCTCTGCTGCTCTTTCCACTAGGCTTCAATTTGTGTAAAAATACTTTCAGACACAACAGCTCTTTTAAGGTCATTAATAAAAGGCAGTCCTGGTTTAGGGACTGATGAGCAATCTACTCCCTTGTCAAAAACTGTATCAAATTGATTTGAAAGCAATATCCTGATTGCTTCTAGAACCTACCTGTCTACAAGTGAAGGTTTGGAATTCCGCGACTTCTTTACTTGGGCGTACACAGCATCCATCATATGTCCTTCTCTTGGGCTTTGGGGTCTGGCATTGAGAGCCATGGAACCCTCATATGAAGAAATTCCCCCATACATCAACTCATCATCACAGCCAAGTGTCCGATGATAATCTTGAATTTCAGCATAGTCACGTTCCCGAGCTTGTCGTTCTCTAAATTCTCGAGTTTTGGCTTGAATCCTGTAAAATTAGAGCAAAGTTGAAATAAGAAAAGTTATGTCTTCTCTAAGAACTGCATATAGAAACATTCATCAAACTATGTTGTAAAATACATTTTATTTCATGCAGTATATGAAAATTTATGGTATAAACAATGTTATATTCATTTCAGACTATCATGGATGCTCAGAAATAATGTTAGATAGCTTTTGTTAATGTGAGTACTGTATAGTCATGATGTACACCTTAATTTAAATTGTCCCTTATTAAGTAGATTTAAAAATCCACAAAGAACAGACAGTTTTAGGCATCTAATTAGGTTTTCCTCATGAACTCCTGTAAGGCAAGAAGTGATTCTTAAAAAGTCACTGCCCCTGCCACAAACACAAACTATCCTATCTAATAAAGAGGTAATATGAAAATTGACTGTCACTCTGTCACAAAGATGGTGGTGCCCAAGGCCACAAGATGCTGGTGCCCAGGCCCCTCAGCCCTGCCAGAGTCCCCCAGTCCTTTCAGCCCCACCTGGGGGTGGTGGTGGCAGGCACACAGTGTGGGCATACCTGACCTCAGCCCCCCAGCAGCCCAGGGCCAGCCAGAGGCGCAGGCAAGCCTTGGATGGAGGCTGCCCAGCTGCCCAGGATGGGTCCAAGGCGCAGGCAAGCCTTGGGTGGCGGTTGCCCAGCTGCCCAGGGCCACCCGAGGCTCAGAG